CTTAGAAAGTCCTGATCTATTCTACTTATTCCAGAATTACAGACCCAGACTCTTCCCTTGAAACCCACTCCCCTTTTCTAAGATCATTTCCATCTTCGTTTATCCAGCTAGGAAGCTCTGCCTAATACGTAACTCCAAATTCTCATGCCGAATGCCAAGCTCTTTGCCTTATAATTTTTCCTCCAGAAGAACAGAGACTACTCGCTTGGATAGTCATGTGTTCAGTACTTGTTCGTTCTTTGAAACTTCTTCGGGTTCCTTTTTTTTTTTCAGTTCAAAGTTTTCCTTTTTTTTGTTTTTTTTTGTATTTTCAATACTTTAATCATTCTTATAGTTCTCTAAATCCACTCCAAATTGCATATGTTTTTGTTCGTTTGAGGAAACAAACTGGACAGTCTTACTCCAAATGCTGACAAGTGCACCAGAGCGAGAAAGCGTTATCTCAAGGTTCCTATGTTAGCCAGCGTTCTACATGGTGAAGACCCATATTCAGCAAAGTGATCTTTACCAAAATGGTTATTGGTTCAGTGGGACCCCAGGGCACTGTTTCAGGCAGAGCACTGGGAAAGAGGAGGGAAGTTGGTCAATTCTACCATGCACAGAACCGCAGCCCCACAGATGGGGGCATCCCTCTTCCGAAGGGGCAGACATGAGACCCCCTTCTATAGCATCCTGAAGAACAAACACATCGCAGTGTTTGGAAGGCTTCTGGGAGCAGGATGCTCACTACATCACGAGGTACTGCATCCCCCTGCTGGGGTGCTCCAATGATTAAAAGATTTTCTAGTGAGATAACCTGAAATCTGTCTTTCAAAGATTCCCTCACTCAGGCGTTAGCTGTGCCTCCTGGGGCAACCCAGAACACATCCATGAAAGTCTTTCAAACATCTGCTGGGTCTTTTCTCTTATTCAGGTGTGGAGATTATATTTTTGGTGGTGTCCAAGGGTGATGAAGGGAGCTGAAATAGTCTATGATCCATGAACATCATGTCCAGACACTTGAAACTTGGAGGCAAGTTTAGGGCTGGGTGTAGGAGACACAGACAGTCCCGAACCTTTTAGAATGTCAAGTTCACCACCTGCTCCCCATCAAAGAGATAAAGATGCCCAGTTGTTCCAAAGAATTTGGATGGAGAAAATGAAAGCTTTCATATGATGGACATTTAAAAAACTGAAAAATAGAAAACTGAAATAGAATTTTAAAAATTTACAGTTGGAGGAATAAAGTTGAAATCTCCAATAAATAATGCAGTTGTCAAATCAACTTTTAAAAGAAATTTTAAAAATTATAGAATTGGACTTGCATTTCCATGCAAACCAATCCCCAGCCTTCCCGGTGGGATCTAAATCAAAAAGCCTGCCCACCTCTTGACAGAGGAAAGTCTCTCAAACTCACCAAGGAGCCGCTCTGACCTGCTTTACAATGCGGGTGCCATTACACCCCCAGAAGCATCAGGAGACTCTAATTAGAATGGTCTCAGAAAAGCTACAAAGGCAGAAGAACTCTATTAAGTATAGAATAAAATCCCTAAAATTCACATTTCCAAAGTTGTTTATCTCTTATAAACTGAACATCTGCTTGACTTATACAAATAAATTTCAACTCCCAGCTCATTTAAAATTAAAGAGACAAAATGAATTTTAAAATATCAGCATGTTAAATGAAAAAAAAGAAAAAGGAAGAAGAAAGAAAAACCCTGGCTTAGGAAGTTTCAGACTGCTACTAAAGCCCACGGCGAGATTTTACAGAAAATTCTGGTGAAATTTTACAGGAGACTCATACAGGTGAAGTGCTAAAAATAGAGATTACGTAATGAAAGTGATAGCTCTACGCCACTGGAGCACTGTGTTGGTCAGGACATCGTCAACGTATTATTTCAGTTGAGAAAGAACCTGGCGGTTACTTTTTGTTCTTACGATAAAATTCATGGTTTCACTGCCAAAAGAGCAAGTAAAATGACTGCACAAAAGGTTGAGGTAAATATTTATGGAAAGACAAGTTCCCACTGTCTCCCTAAGACACACCTAAGAAAGAGCCCTAAAGTAAGTGATTTTTTTTTTTTCTGCCTAGCAGACTTTTACGCCTTTCCTCTCTCCTAGGTGGCAGTATGACACACAAGAAAGACTATTCCAGGACCTACCGAATACTGCAGGATTTAAAGATCACTAAGAATGAAGATCCAAGGAAAATACTTAATGAGGTACCGGAATAAAGACACAGTTCTTTTGCAGACAGAGAAAGGGTAGTACTCACCGGTTCCACGTTATATGAAAAAAGCGCATACTCTCTGTCTGGAGAGATTTCATATCTGATGGCTCTTAATGATTCCTAAAAGAAAAATAAAAAAAGAATTTTAAAGTGTTACATGTAACTACTCAGAATTATGTCATAAAACGGTGCCTGCTGGTGTCATTTAATATTTGGATATTTAGGATATAGCTAGGAAAATGGTTATATCGCTTCTTTGTCAGCTGAATATTTATTTGATGCTTTTCCACATTTTATTTGGATTTTTTTCAATTTTCAACAAAACATATTTATTGCAAAAAACAAATCAGTGAAATCACCATCACAAAGCACAGACATGCAAAAAAGGTCATTACGCTAAACAGAACGCAAAAAGGAAAGTTGGTTCCAGTGTAAGAGTCGAAACAAGAAAGCAGAACGTTCCCTTGTTGCACCTCAGCTGGGAGTGCAAACATTGAGCAACTCAAATATTCTGCTACCATGCCCAAGAATGACTGCAAAGGTGCAGCATTACTTTGGGATACAAGTAAGCTTTATAACATAAGGCGAATTTGCAAAGCAAAAGTTTTGAGTAATGAGGATCGACCTTGCTTCCAGCGAGCTGTTACTACGAACAATGTGTGGAATAAAGATCGTCATCTATGTGTCTTCAGTGATGCACATGTGATTTTTGAACTTTTTAGAGACAGGGTCTTGCTCTGCCACCAAGGCTAGAGTGCAGCGGCGTGATCCTAGCTCACTGCGGCCTTAAACTCCTGGGCTCAGGGGATTCTCCCACCTCAGTCACCCCGCTGAGTAGCTGGGGTTACAGGTATATACCACCATACCCAGCTAATTTATTTTATTTTATTGTAGACATGGGGTCTCTCCATGCTGTCCAGGCTGTTCTCGAACTCCTGGCCTCAAGTAATCCTCCTACCTCAGCCTCCCAAAGTGTTAGGATTACAGGTGCAAGCCACCACACCCAGCCTTATAATTTTCTTATAGGATAGATATCTAAGGATGAGACTGATGATTTATAAATTCTTTAAAATTTTAAATAGATTTTGCCAAATTGCTTTTCAAGAACGTTTTTGGGATTCACCTTCCCGCTTCAGGTGTACGAATGCATCCTCTCTTCCCTTCTCTGGAAGTACGAAGTGTTTTCTCTTCAATGCTGACCCTCTTATGGATGTCACGTGGCACCTCACTGAGAGTTGAGCTCGTACTTTCCTGCTTATGGGTACACTGCATCCTCACCGCCCAGGCTTGGGGCACGTCGACTCCATCCTTAGCAAACCATCTATCCGCACCGCCTCGGAAGTGCTCTGTGTGCTCCGGCTCTTCTCCTCCCACTCCTTCAACTCGCTCCTGCCGTGTGAGCTTTCATCCCACCGCTCGGCCACAACTGCTCTTCTCCAGGTCACCAGGGACTCACGGGCTGAATGCCATATTTCCCAGCTGTCGTCTTACCTGACACAATGGCTCTCTCCCCTCCCCAAGCCCTGTCTTCGCCTGGCTTCCTGGACACACACATGTGCACGCACACACATATACACACACACACACACCACCTGCCTTTCCCCTCCCTCCCTGGCTGTGTCTTTTCCTGCTCTCCCGTGTTTTCCTTCATTTCCCTGACCTTGACTGGTGGGGTGCCCAGGGGTCGCCATCTGGATCTCTTCACTCCCCAAGTGACGTTATCCAGCCTCACGCTCTAAAAACCACTTACGGGCTGAGGACTCCCACGTTCACGCCTCCAGGCTGGACCACTGTAGCCTGCACTGGCCCCGACCCTGAACTTCAGACTTCTCCGTCCAGCTGCCTCCCTGACATCTCCACCTGGACATCAAACGGGCACCTCGAGTCAACGGGAGCACGCTAAGCCCCTCCAGCTCCTGCGACCTTCCTCCTCATCTCGGACAGCAGCTACCCCACTCACTTGGTCATCAGGCCAAACTCTTGGCTATCTTCTCCCTTTCTCTGTCTTACACCCAGGTGGCCAGAAAACTCTATTAGTTTACCTTCAAAATATATTCAGAACCACCCCCTCTTCCCCACTGCCACCACCCTTGTGGAAGGCGTGGGCATCTTTCCTTGAGATACCGCAGTGGCTTCTTATCTGCTCCTCTGTGGTCAGGGCCAGCTCTCAAACACGTAATCACCACGTGGCTCCCTGCTAGAAACCCTCCCACAGCTTCCCAGCTGCTTGTGGTGACAGCCACGTCCACTGACCAGGAGGCCCCACCCAGCCGGGCCCCTCCCAGCTCTTTGCGCCCAACTCCCCTCCTGCCCTCCCCCTTCCCTGCAGCCTCGCCAGCCTCTGCTCCTTCCTGCAGCAGGGAGGGCACACGCCAGGCCCAGGGCCTTTGGACTTCCGCTTCCTTCTGCCTGAAATGTTCTAGATCATTTCTTTTGGCTTTTTTCTCAAAGTCGCCTTCTAAGCGAGGCCTTCACTATCATTTAACGGTCATTATATCTAGACATAATAGCTTCCCCTCCAATTTTTTATAACCCCCTCTCTGATTTCTTTCCCTAATCATCACCTAAGATAACATATATTTTACTTATTTATCCTACATATTGCCTGAGTTCCCTTCACTAAAATGTAAGCACCTTGAAAAGAGGACTGCTTGTTTCAATCTTTAATCTCTCTCAGCACTGTTTTGTAGTTTTCAACATACAGGTTTTGCCCCTATTTTGTCAAATTTAGCTTTAAGTATTTAACATGATTTCTAACTGGATGCTTTTTATTTCTTTTTATTGTCCTATTATAATCTTGAGACCTGTCAGTACAATGCTGAGTAGAAGCAGTGGGCGTGGACGTCCGTGCCTTGTTTCCTGATGCTGGGGAGAAAGCCTCCCTTCCTTACCATCTAGCATGACATTTGTGGCATTTCTTTTCTTCTTTTTGTAGACTCGTTTCATTAGGCTGAAGATGCCCCTGTCGATTTCTAGTTTGCTCAGAGTTTTTATAATGGATGTGTATTTGATTTTCCCGAATGCTTCTGCATTTATTGAGATATGTGTGTTGTTTTGCTTATTTTAGTCTGTCAATATGGTAAATTATATTGCTTGGTTTTCAAATGTTAAACCAATCTTGCATTCTTCTTCTATACTGGTAGACTCAATTTACTAATATGCTGTGGATTTATGTATCCGTGTTCACGAGGGAAGTTGGTCTGTGGTTTTATTTCCTGGTAATATCTTTATTTGGTTTTAATTTCTGTGTAATGCTGGCCTAAGAAATGGACTTCGGAAGTATGTCTTCCTTCTCTTTTTTGTCCTCCAGGTTTGTGTAGAATTGGTATTCTTTCTTCTCTCAATCATTCAGGTACCATGCCTGGTACTTCTCATTCTGTCATGCAGATCTAACTTTTCATCTGGCAGAATTTTTAATACTCCAAAGAACTTCCTTTAAATTTCTCATAGTGTAGGTTTGTGGCCAGTAAATTCCCTCATATT